CTCTCTCTCTCTCTCTCTCACAGACACACACACACACACACACTCCCTCTCTCTCACACACACACTCTCACACACACACACTCTCACCCACACACACACACTCTCTCTCTCACACACTCTCACTCTCTCTCTCTCTCACACACACTCACTCTCACTCACACACACTCTCTCTCACACACACACTCTAACTCTCTCACACATTCTAACACACACTCTCACTCTCTCTCACACACACACACACACACACACACTCACTCACACACACAAACACACTTTCACTCTCTCACTCACACACACACATTCTCTCATACACACACACACTCACTCACACACTCACTCTCATACACACACTCACTCTCACACACACACACACACACACTCTCTCTCTCATACACACGCACACTGCTGCAATGCATGCAGTGACTCACTCTCCAATTGTGCTTCAGTGAGTCACACAGATGCACAGCACATATATATTGCTCCATCTGTGTGTGTGCAGGACACGTCTCATGCAGAGCTTCAAGGAGTCTCACTCTCACGAGTCCCTGCTGTCTCCCAGCAGCGCGGCCGAGGCTCTGGACCTCACGCTGGACGAGGATGCCGTCATCAAACCCGTCCACTCCAGCATCCTCGGCCAGGAGTACTGCTTCGAGGTCTGTTAGTCTGTATTCACTGCTGATGTCTGAATATGACAGTGACTTCACACCTGAGATCCTCAGGTCTTAGCCAAACCGTCATCACCATCCAGATTTTTAGAGAATAACACAACGTGACAAACTACATCAGTGGACATAAAATTATTGGCTAACACTTTACAGTAAGGTTGCATTTGTTAACATTAGTTAAAAAGGGTAGTTCACCCAGAAATGAATATGTTGTCATCATTTACTCACCCCCATGTTGTTCCAAACCCGTATGAGTTTCTTTCTGTTGTTCAATGCATAAGAAGAAGTTTTGAAGAATGTTCTATATGAATGCCGGTGACTTTCATATAGACCGGGGGTCGGGAACCTCTTTTCACCAAAGAGCCATTTTTTATTTTTTGCCAAATGCATTTTTTCAAAAGAGCCATTGAAAAAAACCAATATATTACCACTATAAAAAATACAGGTTTTCAATAACATTTCAATAACAAAACCTTTATTTATGTCCATGTACGACTCAAAAACAAACAAATATGAAGCATCACATGTTGAGTAATTGAATGAATGAAGAACAAAACACATTTTTAAATTCTGGTTAATGCATTTTTTTTTTTTTTTATGCAATTTAAAATAAATTAATATTTTACTATTATAAAAAACAACATTTACTGCTTCGGCTTTCGCTCACCGGGTACTTCGCTCAAAAGCTGCATGTGGGCCTGTTTAAACCTGGTCACTTCATGCGTTTTCTCTGATTGGATAGCTATCAGATCGTGAGAAGACCAGGTGTAAATGCCCTCCAAAACGCTTTTGAGACGCATTTAAATCCAATAGCTCCAACCACTTCAGGAGGAGGTCTGGGACGCATTGCAGACAAAACTGGACAAGTGTAAATTACAGCATCTGGTTGTTGAAACCACATATGTACATTTTACTCCTCCCAAAATGTTAAAATAATAAAGGTGTGAGTGGGTGTTATAGGCTATATGACATGTTATAGCCAGCCAGATATGACAGCGCTAATGCAACACGCATCGCCGCGGATAGAATGCAAGCCGACACGCAAATGGCTGCAAATGAAACTGAAAGAAAGATGCAGACACTCAATACTCACTCACACAATCATCTTTATTAAAAGTATAGAACAACTTATCTTTACAGTGCTTTACAGTTGCTCTCCTGTTGCGGTCTTTGATCTTGAAATTAGCTGATAATGAATAAAATGCTGCGCTCATCTGTTGCTTTCGTTGACGTGATCTCCGTTAAATTTAAATATAACGCGGGAAGTGAAGATCGGATTTATATCAGTTTTGTGACAACACATTTATGTGGCCAAGTGTAAATGGAAACGTTTTAACTAGGGCTGTCAGTCGATTAAAATTTTTTAATCTAATTAATTACATGATGTGTCGATGTTAATGAATCTAATAGCAAATTAGATTAATTAATTAATCGCAAATTACATTTGGCTGTGAAAATACCTCCGAAAGATTATTTAATGCTATTTTTGTGTTAAATGAGAACGTATTAAGTAGACATTACATATAGTAGCTTTAGAAAGAAATATTTTATTTGATTCAGCATAAAATTTCAGATTTTCATGTCACCTTTAAGAAACATCTCAGTTTTTTTTTCGTTCATGCAATGGAAGTCATTGGTAACCAAAACAGCTGTCTTCAAAATACCTTCTTTTATGCTACACAAACCTGAATGACTTACTTTCTTTTAAGTAGGATAAATGATGACATAATTAAAAATAAATTGGGTGAACTATCCCTTTAATTTTTTTCCCCTTTTTTTTTAATTTTAATTTTTTTATGAAATAATACTCTAAGAAACTAAATCTGCCAGCAGGTGGCAGTAAATGTCTTTATGAGTCTTTCATTAATTCGATTCGTTCAAACGGCTGATTCATTCAGGAGTTCAGTAAACTGCTCTCTTTATGAACGGACCTTTGAATCATTGATTCACTTGATTCGTTCAAACGGCTGATTCATTCAGGAGTTCAGTAAACTGCTCTCTTTATGAACGGACCTTTGAATCATTGATTCACT